AAAAAAAAACAGCGTGCATTTTGACAGCGTTATTATTCTTGTTGTCATTCTCGTTGGTAGTTTCTATCAAAATGAATTCTGCTGTGAGAAATTATCAAATTTTAATTTAATTTCGATCGGATATTTTTACCTTCAACGGCGGAAGAGAAAACGAGTACGAACCATTGGTGTGAGAGAGATTTTTCGAAGAAGAATCCAGTTTGGTGACGGACATAATCTGTTAGAAGAACTCCGTTTAATGATCCGCACTTTTTTTTTATTTATACAAGAATGAATGTTGAAAGGTAATGTCTATTAATAAAGAATCATAAAAGATTAATGGTTTGATCGTATAGGGTTTATTTTTTACATATTATATTTTGCTTTCTTAGATTCGAGTATCTCTTGAGTTTAATTGGTCCACTGTTAAAGAAACGAAAAATGTACACTACTCTTTTACCCTCTCAGAGACTTGCCATAACATTAAGGTTCTTGGCAGCAGGAGACAGTCAGGGTACTCTGAGCTTTTCCTATAGATGTGGCAAGAGCACTATCTCTCAGATCCTGGCTGAAACTACTCGAGCACTTGTAAGTGTTTTGAAGAATGCATTTGTAAAGCCTCCTGCAAATGAAGCGGAGTGGCGTGAGGTGGCTGCTGGATTTTGGGAAGAATGGCAGTTTCCCCATTGTGTGGGAGCCATCGATGGGAAGCACATTCAAATGCAGGCCCCACAAGCTTCTCAAAGTATTTACTTTAATTACAAGAAAACATTTAGCATAGTTCTATTGGCAGTTTGTGATGCATACTACAATTTCATCATGCTCGATGTAGGAGCAGAAGGCTCACAAAGTGATGGCGGATTTTTCAATCGTCTGAAATGGGTCGGCGATTGAATGATGGATCTATTAATTTGCCAAATTCGAGTAACCTACCAGAAACTGATATTGATATGCCTTACTTCCTTGTAGGAGATGCAGCTTTCCCTCTGAAATCTTACCTAATGAAACCCTATGGCGAACGTAACATATCTCATGACAAGTCTGTGTATAACTTTAGGTTGAGCAGAGCAAGAAGAGTGATTGAAAATGCCTTTGGCATTTTAGCAGCTCGTTGGAGAGTTTTTCGTCGCCCTATTATTAGTAAAGAAGACAATGTGGAAAGCATTATTGAATGTACTATTTGCCTCCACAATTTCATCCTTAAGACAGGCAACAAGAAACTCAACCTGGAGTACTGCCCTCCTTCGTTTGTGGATCAAGAATTGCCAACTGGCGAATTGATAGAAGGAGAATGGCATGATGTTGTCAGTGGGGAAAATGGAGCCATCATTAATGGTCCACGGATGGGTGCAAGAAATGCTGCTCTAGGAATTTTAAAACAGAGAGATGCACTGAAGGAATTCGTGAATGGGCCTGGGGTTATGCGCCATCAAGACACTATTGTGAGGATCCGGCAAGGAATTATCCCCCCTCAAGATCTACACTTACTGCCATGAGTTTTTTTTTTAATTAAATAAATCTTAATACAAAACATGAATAAAACATTTTTATTTAAACACAGAAAGAAATAGAATTTTTATTTTTTAAACAGAAATAAATAGAATTAAACATTTTTATTTTTAAATAAACACAGAAATAAATAAAATAAAGTAATAAAATAAAAATATAAGATAATAAAATAAACGAATTATATATCTATAAATTCTGATAATTTTATATCTTCAGCCTCCTCCTCACAATCTTGGATTATAGATCTAAATTTCCTTCTATATTTAAGTCTTAACGTCATATTTGTCAAATTCTTGAGACAAGATTCAACGTTTCTGCTAATCAAGACGTCTGGATCATTAATTGAAGGTGGTGATGATAGTGGTGGAGTAGGAGCACTGGCTACAGCCATAGATTTATTTAAATTAGTAAGAGTCTCTCTGAACAATTCATCTGTTTCGTCCACCTTTGACCTCTTACGACTTGTAGGTCCCAAATAAGGCATATTAGCAGCTGATGAGCTACAGCCAGGCGAGGAGAGGGGAGAGGGTAGAACAGGTAGAAATTATAAAGGGTGCGCTATTAATGTCCACAGCTTGCTCATTTATTATTATTTCTTCATCTGGTGAAGGTGTAGTTTTAGATACCAACGCCTTTGTTTGAAAATTGTCCACAGATCTGCAACCGGAAATAATTAAAAAAATTATCGTAATTATTCGAAAATTCGTACAACAAACCATCATATACCAAACTTACTTTCTCTTCCTAATGTGCGGTGTCAGAAATGACATAACACTATATAAGGCCCATTCTGGACGGGTTGAGGCTGCTGCTCCAGACTTCCCCTCCTGCTCAAAAATACGTTTTTCTTTCGCGAATCTCTCGCGAAGAGTATGCCACCTGGCCGTACAATCTGTCGCTGATGCTGAAATCATAACAAAAAAGATATTAAAAAACATATATAAATTAATGTAATAAATATAATTTTAAAAAAAAGATGCAATATAACCTACCATTCAATGTTTCGCCAACAATCTTCCATGCGGAGTCTTTTATGCCGGAATTTTTGAATCCGGCATGTCCCTTGTCGTATATTTCGGGATGCGCACGAACACACTCTATCAATAACGTGTCGTTAATTGACATCTTCTATTGCTATAAGCTCCGAATGAGCAACACAATGTTAAATGTCAAATTCTTAAACTCGAATGTAGCGCGCGTAAAAAAACAAAAAAAAAGTTACATTAAATATTTTTAATGTAATTTTAAATAAAAAATTAATTAATTAATAATTGAATAATAATTATTAAGATTATAATTATAATAATTATAATTGTATAAATATAAAATAATTATTACAATAATATATTAGTAACTAATATTATATACATATTTATGATTATAATTATAATAATTATTATAACTATAATAAGAATTATAATTAATAATAATTATTTTAATAATTATAATAAATTTTTTAAAGACCGACTAGGCGAAACGCGACAAAGCTTGGCAAAGCTTGATGTCGCGTTAAGTTCTAATAATTCGTTACGTAAAGGCGATCGTAATAGCCGAATTCCGTCGCGTTCCGTTACGTTCCGTTACGTTAAGCTCATCCTAAACCCACCTTAACATTGTATCATTGTGGTAAGTCATTACGCATATATTTCATGTACATCGCTACGTAATGATGGTAACATCATCGTTAAAAGTAACAGACATCGTATAATTCATTTAGTATTAATAATTGTGCATAAAATTGAAATATTATTATAATTATTATATAAATTTGATTCTTTGTGATTTATTAAACTAAACGGTAAATATATATGAAGTTATATGAATAATTTATTTATACTAATTACAATTATATAACTTATAATTGAATATGTGCTTAAATCTATCTTATAATTAAAATATTGTATACATATATTGTATATTTCGTCTTATAGTCACTTAATTATGATATTTCAAAAAAATTTCGCTAAATATTTGTTACATATATTAATTACAACTAAACATTTATATATTTGCTATATAAAAACTATTACAAAAATTATTTTACAATTATTTATATTCCAATTGATTTTTGTTAAAAATATTTATATTATTTGTCTTAATAATAATATATTCTTATAAATATATATTCTTACTATATAATATTAAATTTTAGTTGCTATTTATATTTTTATTTTAAAATTGCGTGTGTACGTTACATTGAAATATTTTTATTTAAAAATTCTAGGATAAAGCTACAAAGAAAATGGATAGCGAATCAGACATTTATCGTGAGTTGTGTGATAATCCAACATTATATGTTTCACCAAGAGAACTTTTCGAAGTTATGTTACCTAATGATGGTACAGTGTAAGTTTTAAAAATTTTTAATATTTAATTTTTATTCATAAATTACTTATTCTCACTATTTCAGTATTATCGTCAAATTTGTAAAATTCTGTCAGTTTAAGAATAAAACTATATAATAGTAGCATAAAATCATATAAATGTAATTGATGTATAAAAGATACATTTATTAAAAATTTTATTGAACTTTTAATTATTTTTTATTTTTTAATAAATATAAAATATTAATTGTTTATATATATATATTTTTTTTTAAGGTGTTTTATCAGTATGGTGGAACAAATCGACAGTACAATTGCTGTTAAAACTAAAAATGGTGAAGTTCAACGTTGTCGAGTAATTTTGACAAATAATAAAGACTGGAAGGTTCAAGTTACTATATGGGGCAATAACATAAATCGAGTTATACATAACTTTAAAACATCATTTGTAAGTTTTTATCACAAAAATTAAAATCATTTTATTACAAATGTTTACAACATAAATTAAGACATTATTTTATATATTTGTTATTACATAAAATATTAACTGTTCTTAAAAAATCTTTTATAAATAATTATAAAATGTAAAAATCAACATAATTTATAAATAATCTTACAATAAAATAAATAATTAATTTTATGATGTCAATTCTATAAAAAATTGAGATAAAATTATTAATAAAAATATTCTATAAAAATGTTTTTTTTCAATAAAAATCATTAATAATAAAATTAATAACAAAACTAAATTTTAACATTTAGAAATAATGTTAATTTACTGTTAGTAAAATATTACAAATAAAAATCAATTTTATAATTTAAAAAATTATTTACAATTGATCAATTAATTTTGATAACAAATTTTTTAATGTAAATTTATGTTTTTATCTTGAATATAAAAACTCATATAGGAAAGTTTAAGTTTTATAATAAATAATGTAAAATGACTTTACAAAACACATTTTTTGTTAAAAAATCATTTTCTAATTATAAGTTATAAATATTGTAAAAGAAATTGACTTTTGAAATATTTATCTCATTATTTATTTCATTATAAATAATTTTAAATGTATGTATGTATGTATACATAAAAACATTCTTATTACAATATTTATAACTTATAATTTTAGAAAATTCTTTTTTAGCAAATATGTTTCAAAGTCATCTTACAACAATTGTTGCAAAATTTAAACTTTTCTATTGATGAACATTTTTAATAATAAATTTCATAATTAATAAGTATTTTATAAAATTAATAATTATATTTTTTATATGTATATAGGTGGTACATGTATCCGGAGCTTTTTCTCAAAAACGTTATTCTAAGAGTTTAGGAAATGTCCCTATGGATTTAACTATCAAAGATTATACAGTTGTGAATGTCATTGGAAAATTCGAGAATATGAATAGAGGAAACTAAAATTATGAACCAGTTACTATTCAAAACATTTTAAATTCTAAAACTCAATATGGTAATTATACATATACTCTTTATTTGAAATTATATACGTATATATACATACATGAAGTTTGAATTAATAATATTTCCACCAAGTTTTTTATTAATTTCACGATATAAAATCAAGTTTTTTTTATTAATTTTACAATATAATAAAAATTTTCTCATAAAAATAAATTAATAAAAATTAATTTTTGGCAATAAAGTAACTATTTAAATTTCATCTATACCTGATAGAATCCTTTCAATTTATAACATACACACACACACGCACACGCACACGCGCGCGCACACACACCACACACACACGCACGCACGCACACGCACACGCACACGTACTTACGAGTATGCGCGCGCGCGCATACTCGTAAGTACGTGTGCGTGTGATTTATTTAGTTACACCCTGTATATATATATATATTATATATATATATATATAATTTCTTTGTGATTGAGAATGTCTCACATGTCAAAATATTCCGGGTACATATCCGATGAAGATCTTGCGAAAGCAACATTTCTCCTCTCGAAAAAGAAAGTTCAATAATGGATTCAGAAATGGTAAATTTTTATTCAAAACAAAATTAAAATAAAAAATTTAAGCATTGGTCTAATCTATAATTTGAATATAATATAAAGTTTTATTGAATAAAAATTAAAACTAATAATTTAATATTTATTATAGGATTAAATCAAAAGCTTTAACCTACAAAACATTATAAAATTGTAAATTTGTAAGTATAGAAAATTTTTATTTTTAATAAAAACAAATTGATTTATTTTATTTTTTATTCATATCTTCTTTTTTATTAAATATTATTTATTAAATATTTGTTTTAAATTTTTTAATTAAAAATATGATTTAACTTATGAAGTGTATATTAAAATTTATAATCTAAAAGAAATATATTAAACAAAAAAGAATTTTAGAGTAAATTATACATAAAACAAAAGTAAAAAATACTATATAACATTAATTTTTTTATTCAATATACAATACATATAAATATAAATACTATATTTATTAAATATTTATTGGCTTCCGGTTCCGGTAAGAGAGTGAGTGACAGGTGTTTGAAAGCGTGGCAGATATTTGTGAGAAAAGAGTGAGAAAGGGGGGTGAGGTGAATAGGAGATAGGAGGTGAGAGGGTGTAGGAAAAAGAGGAGGAGAGATTGAAGGATAGGAGAAGATAAAGGGGTAAGGAGTTAGAAAATAGAAAATAGAAAGTAGGAAAAGGTGAGACACGTGGACACGTAGACACGTGGAAGAAAGAGAGTAGGTGTAGGAGAGTAGGTGTAGTAGAGGATAAAGATAGGGAATTCACTAGGGAATTCACTAGCGAGTTGGAGCATTAGAGTAAGTGAATCAAAGAAAGAAAGCGATAAGGAAAAATGATAATGAAGAGATATTAGAGATAGGAGGATAGAGACCAATAGAGATAGGATGTTAGAGGAAGGGGGGGGAAAAAAGGGAGATGAGGAAGAAATAAAAAAGAAGGCAGGGCCGAGGCCGAGAAGAGTAGATGAGTTAGGGAAGGAAAGGAGGAGCAGTATGGGATGTATAGATGATTTTTTGAAAGGAGGAAAAGAGAAGAAGGGGAGAGGAGGATAAGGAGGAAGAGGAGGAAAGAAGCCTAAGAAGGAGCAAAAGACAGAAAGGCTGAATAGAGAGGTAGGGGGGATAGAAAAGGAGGAGTTAAGAAGGATGATGGAGGAGATAGGGGAGAAGATAACAGAGAAGTTAGGCGAGGAAATGAGAAAGTTGAAGATAGAAATTTGGAAAAAGGAGGGGGAATGGAGAGAAGAAAGAAGAGAACTGAGAAAAGAGATAGAGAGCCTGGAGAAGAGAGTGATAGATTTGGAGGCAAGAAAGAGTAGAGGAAAGAGGAAGAAAGGAAAAAGAGAAAGAGAGGGGGGCGAAGGAGGGAGGGTAATAGGATAAACGAGACAATAATAGGAAAAGTGAAGGACATAGGAAAGAAATTAGAATGGAAGGAAAGAGAAGAGAGAAGAAATAACATAGTAATAAAAAGAATGGAGGAAGGGAAGGAAGGTGTAAAGGAAAGAGTAGAGAAATTAATGAAAGAGATAGGAGCGAAAGCAGAAATAGAATGGATAAGGATGTTGAAAGGAAAGGAGGGAAAGGAAGTGTGAAATGGTGGTAGTGAAACTAGGAAGTAGAGAACAAAAAAGACAGGTAATGGAGAGGAAGAGGATATTAAGAGGAAAGAAGGTGAGAATAGAAGATGATTTAACATGGGAAGAGAGAAAGATAAAATGGAGACTAATGGAGATCGCGAGATAGAAAGGAGGAAAGGAAACAATGTATGGACGAGCTATGAAGGATAAAAATCAATGATGTATGGTGGAGATGGGAAGAGGAGGAAGGTGTGCTTAAAAACTGGAAAGGAGAAATTAGAGAAGGTATAGAGAAAAGGAGGGGGGAAGAAGGGGAAGAAGGGGGTATGAAGACAGGAATGGAGGAAAAAAGGGATAGAAGAAGAGAAGAGAAGAGAGAAAGGAGGAAAGGAGGAGGGGGGGAGAGAACAATAGTAAGAAGAGAAAGGAGGGAAGGAGGGAAGAAAAGGGAGAAGGAGCAGAAAGGAGAAAGGAAAAGGAGGGAAGTAAGAGAGGAATGGAAAATAGGTTTTTGGAATGTGGCAGGGCTGCTGAAGAATAAGGAAAAAAAGTTCTGGAAGGAAATAGAAGATTGGGAGGTGGTGGTGATGATGGAAACATGGATAGAGAGGAAAGGGGGTGGGAGGCGATTAAAAAGAGGTTACCGAAAGGATATAGATGGGAGAAGCAAGCAGCAAAGAGAGAGAAGAAGAAAGGAAGACCGATGGGGGAATGATCATGGGGTAAGGGAGGAGAGGGGGAAGATAAAAGTATCAGGAATGGGAGAAAAGGCGGAGGGAATAATGATGGCGGATTTAGAAGTAGGAAGAGAGAGTGGAGGGTAATAGGCGTATACATCAACGGGGACATGGAAAGGAAATTGAGGAAATGAAGGAATGGATGGAAGAGAAAAGAAGAAAATAATTGGACGATTTTGGGAGAGATTTCAACGCAAGGACAGGTAGAAGGGGGGGTGATAGGAGGGGAGGAGGAAGAAGAAAGAAGATCGAAGGACAAGAAAGTTAATGAGGAAGGGAAGAAGTTGATAAAAGAGTTGGAAGAGGTAGGATGGGGAATCTTTAATGGAGGGATAAGAGGGGATAGGAGGGGGAGTACACATACACAGGAGGAAGAGGGGAATCGGTGATAGATTACGTGGTGGGAGAGGATAGAGTAAAAGAAAGGATAAAGAGAATGGAGGTGGGAGAT